TTACAACGCTCTAAGATCAAGCAGGTCACCAAAGGCAGGGCTGATTGACCTCAAATTTATACCAGAAAGTTCTCTGCACAAAATGCCGACTGTTAGCCAGAGTTAGCACAGAGAATTTACATTTTAAGCTTCAATCTGTGACTTCACATACATAGATTTGACAAGATTTCCGTCACAAGTTATATGATTCCATGGTTTTGGAAAGCACGGATCTTCCTCCCATCCCAAATCTAGACCTGTGTATTGCTGAATAACCTCAAGAGCTGAAACTGCAAAATCATCCAAACAAACAAAATAATTCAGAGTTTTTAAAAATCATCCTAAATGAAGTAAGAGAATAGCAGCATTACCTGTGGTTGAAGAAGTTTCTGGAGGTATATCGACAATCTCAAACACCTCAATAGCATTAACTAGAGGGTAAAAGCTGATATTTTGGAAGGTAATGTTCAGTCCTCTAACTTGTTTCATAGTGAAATAGTGTACACTGGAGTTTCTGCTAATCACAGTGTAATTCAATTGAATAGTTTCTCCATTAGCCAATATGTTAAACCTGGAGTAAACTGGTATAATCCCTGCAAAGTAGAGTACTATATAGTAGTTTCCAAGCTCATCAAGTGGCAGATTATAAGTTAAGAAGTTTCTTTTCTCCAGCAGTCTGGCGGTTTGCAAAACAGCCAAAGGCGGCACCTCACTTATTGAGGGGGCATTGAGGCCAACTTTGGTATAAAGAGGAATTGATAGATGAGAGGGGGAAAAATCTACATCAGCATCCCATACACGATCATATCGATCCAAGGGGTACCTGTTAGTTTTAGAAATCGATAAATAAGAGATACAGAGTATAAGGCTACAAAGAAATACTTAAGAAAGAAAAATGTTTACCTAATAGACCCATTGGTATAACCACAGTTTATCCGATAACACTTCCTTAGAAAGTTCTTTCGAGGACCAACCAAACCGCTATTGTAAGCTCCTTGAGGAAGTGGCCGAAGTTCAAGTGAAGATATCACAGGGTTTCCACCATTTGGTATGTGATACAAACAGAATGGTACATCATCCTTGGTAACCGGCCATATAAATTCTTCGGTCCATGGATCAGCCTTCGAGAGGTTTATTGCAGCAGTCATAGCTCTACCTAGGGAAAGATTGAATGCTGGAGCTCTCTTAAGCTTGTCATAATTCTGATACACAAATTTAGCTCTAACAAGAATTGAAGATGATATATTCTGCACAGGAAGCTTATAACAATTTCGCGCTCTTGCATCAGGGAAATATCGGACTGAAGTATTCATTGAAGATGTATTGTCAACATAATTTGTAGTAAGTGATCGACCCACATTGATATATTCATCATCAGAGATCCATGTTATGTTTTGTGAATCAACATAAGTTGTATTTCCTCCACATGATAAGCTCAGAAAACCTGAAACCAATACATCAGTAGACAGCTTACACAACTTTGGCTATGACTCTCATTTTAATGTCCACGAGTACATTTTATTCACCTGAATTTTACTTACCAGAACTTATTTTGATTGTGAATTAAACTTGGGTAACCCATGTTTTCCCGAACTAAACTTTTATCAACTTATCTTATTTAATCTTGTTAACCCTTATTTGAATTTATTTTTTTAAAATAAGCGAAAATAAAGTGAATGAAACAGTCATGAGGAGGAGAGATTACCTTGTTGATCACAGAAAATGACATCCAAAATGCCATTGAAGATAAACAAAACAATGCACAGCTCCAACCGCAGCCCCATGATCATCCAACCGGCCGCGTTCTTAGAGATTGAGACTACAGAGCTCAGCAGAATTCATTCAAGGATAAAGAACATCAGTTTAAGGAATAATTATTTAGATAATTGTGTGAAGAAATTGAAAGATATGGTGGTGGTAGTTGTAGTGGAGTGAAGAAATGACAATAGTTGTGATGATGAGAGTAAAAAGGGTTGCTTGTTAGTGGGGTTGGCGCCATGCATTGATAGAAGCTTAAATATGAGAAAAAAATGAATGCTAAAAAAAAAAAAGGAGTTTTAATTATCAAGAGTTTGATTGTTGCAGACGTATATAGATTATGGCATCATTAAATTATTTATATGATATGAAGCCAATACAATAATATAGGTATATATATATTTTGTTGGCTTTGCTTCTAATGCATAGTTTATCATTGTAGAAAGTTATCATTTTTGTGTATTTTAAAAAGAACATGAAGTGTTGAATGAATGAATTATTGAATGTTTGAAATCCTTTTACAAATTCCAGATCAGTGTATTTGTTACACTTTTTTTTGGTGCACAAAAATTTGTTATACTCTTTAAGCCAGGTTTTAATTCGTCGCTTGTTTTGGTCTGAATTTTCTAGAGTTGGTCTAGTATCATATGAATTTTTCTGGTATAGTCTAATCTGCTCGTTTAATTTTATTAAAATTTACATTAGTTACAAGCCAATGTATTATACAATTATTATCAAGTAAGATCTTGTTAGATTAATAGATTTTCTTAATGTGATGCGCGCACTCGACTTGACAATGTCCGAACTCAAAAATTAGTGGGTAAAGGTTGAGGGTATGGACCCAGAGAAATGGGTTGATAGATGCAAGCAACTTGTATAGTTAATTGGATTGGGCTGGGTTGATGTTTTCAACATAAGCCCAACTTGAGCCTGTTTTCTGAAAGTGGGTCTAGGATAGAAATTATTTTCAGGGAGTTGATGGTTTCATGAACCAGATTGGTTAAAACAAGTTTCATTTTAAAAGAGTGGGGTAATTGAGTCACAAGAAAGTGGTTAACAAACGGATAAACTATTTTAAGTATCGATATAAGGAAAATTAATACAATGCGGATACAACATATGATAACGATATTGAATTAAAATTACACTCGATCATGCATTTAAAGTCAAAACTTCAAATGCATAACATACATTACATTGCAGCAAAAGATTTCATGCTAGTTGCACCAAAATGACAACGAAATTAAAACCTCAATACTATTGCAACAACAACAACAAAATCAAAGTCTTATTCTCGAAATAAAAAGACATAATTAAACTAAGTAAGGATGATGATTTTGATTAAATTGTCTTTAATCAAACAAAGATTTGTTTTCCATTTACGCCGAGGCTGAGCAGACGGAAGAGCAAACACATCTTTTAGTAGGAAGAGCAGTGTTAACGGTTGTATCAGGTGCACATATTTTTTGATCTCTAGGGTGTCCTTGTAAGATCTCAATGACTGTAGGACTCCTACAAATACCCTTAACAATCGCGGTCGTGAATTCTTGTATACAAGTGCCAGTGAACGCATCAGTGTTGTCCTCTCCCAAGCAGGCGGTGTTACAAGCTGCTTTGCTTTTGCAATCAGCGGTTAGCATGGTGCTGTTCTTGTGGCAGATGCGCGGTTCTAAGGAATTAGCATAGATAATCAGTGTTAATTACAACGAATATTAGCCTACTTGATCACTTGAAAGTAATTTACTGTTTACATTGAAACGAATCTAACAAGTTATCACATGATAATATTTTTGCACAGGCATAAAGTATAATCAACAAATGAATCTAATTATTAACAAGATCTAATGGTGAAAACTAAAGGAAATCCCTCCTAGAATGAGATTGGTGAGATTCGACCCTTGGTTTCAGGCCTGAAAGTCGGAGAATTAGTCAACTACTCTAGCCTCCTATCTCAAAACTTAAATTCGTATAAATTATTAAACAACTTGCATGCATGCAAACTTAGCTTTTTCATTTTAAAATGTTCAGTGAAATTCTACTTATCTGAATACTCCGTATATATATATATATTTTTATTTAATTCTATTATTTATTGGTAAACTCATTATTATCCTTGAATATATTATACCCACGCTTTCTTTCCTCTTTCTTAGCCCTTTAAAGATTACTCCAGCCCATTTCTTTTACATTATTAAAAGTTATATTGATGAGTAATTAGTTATATTTGTTTTTCAACAAGTAGATTAAATGAATCGGAGAGCTATAATGAACTAATGGGATCCTTACTAACAAATGTATAAGTGGAGCCATCTTTAAAGGTCCGCCTAAAAGAAAACTGTGGTATAGTAACATTGAAAGGACGAAAGGAGTATATCGTAAATAAATTAAATTAAAGCACGTGATATTTAACAATTACACTATATATATTTCCCGTCAATCTTGCCAAAAGCTATATGTCTACATACATATTCTAAGAAACAAATGTAATAGTGTATATATACACATACGAGTAATAAAAATTCTACCATAGTCGTCTGCTACAATATATTATTAGTGAGGTAACAATCTTAGTAGAAACATAACGTACCTACTTGAGGCTGCTGAGCCTCAGCAACAGCATTTAGTATAAGAAAGATAGCACAAAATATAGCAAGATAACTGTTGCCCCCCATGATCTTAATTAGAATACGTAGTAATTATAAATCTTGTTGCTGATCAACTACTTAGGTAATTAATTAATTGTTTGTGAATATTTTCTCGCTCTTTGAGACGTACTCTCTCTATTTATAATCAAATTCGCCGTTTGTGTAACGTACATAATACTTCTATCAATGATACCTGGCATGATCATGAATGAAGAGTTTCTAATAGTGTCTTCATTTGTTCAGATCAAGCTGTATATGCCCGTCCACGTTGAATTTATTTACGGTTTGGTATGGATTATATCACAAGTTGAACCTAATAGGACCGCGAATATCCCTAAATGGGATGGAAGGAGTTAATGTAATACAAGCTAGGAAATACAATAATTTCAATAACATACTTCACATAACATTAGATAGATAAGTGAAAGAAAGAACGATTTTGTCCACGGACAACTGGATAATCCAGCTATCAGCCGGCCCCATCATTGTGAAATTAGGGCTTTTTGACATTGATGTAACATACATACCTTAGTATTGATAAGTTCAAATAAGATAAGTTAAAGAATACATAAGTTCTAATTGAAGTTAATAAGGGTTACCCAAAATTTACCTACAAATAAAATTATAAGTTTTGATAAGATCTAATAATTCTGATAAGTTTACATAATGTTAGGAAAAATGGGTGTAATTGTGTTTGATTAATGCGGAACAAGTCAATAAAAAATACGAACGAGAAATGCAATAAAGAAGATAGACAAAGAACACAAGGATTTACGTGGTTCGGTCAAATAAGACCTACATCCACGGGTGGGGGACTTGAGAGCTTCTTCACTATAATGGAGAAAGAATGAGAAAATATACAAGGAGTCCTAATCTAATGGCTCAAAAGGTATGATAAAATTGATCAACTAAAGGGTCCTTTTATAATAGCCGTCATAGAAAAGATATAATTTTAGGAAAGATCCTATAAATTACAAGCTCAAGCCTGCCATAAGTCTTCATAGGGCCGAGCTATAGCTCACTCGCCTAGAGCTATAGCTCGCTTGCTTGTTGCAATTTTCAAGCTTGGTCAGATTTTCGTAAAACGGCCATAACTTTCTCGTTTCTTATCGGAATTGGGCATATGACCAATCGTTGGAAAGCTCTTGAAACAAGCTATCACCTCCAACTTGAATTACCTCAAAATCACTTGTAATTTGAGAGATATTTGCATTCAAAGTCAGCCCTAGTAGATTTCGAGTCACAATTTAACACATAAAATAACATGAAATGAATAAAAATTGAATAGAGCACACCCTAACTTTAATCAATGCAAATGAAATATTGTATAGAGTATTGTGACCATATTATTAATGATTCTTCATCGTTTAGGACCAACATTTGAGGTTAATCATGAACCATAGATATTGCTTCTTGATCTTCTGGTCACAATGTTCTCTACAACATTTTATTGGCATGGATTATTACATGGTATCATATATAGATTCATAGTGCCGCCTTTCCGACTTGGTATTGTGACTAGAAGATTAGAAACTCCTTATGGTACCATAAATGACACAATACGTTTCTTAAACGGGCCTATTTAATGTTGAGATTTCCCAACTAATTTAATTTCGTACACTGACGAACAAAATACGACACGATATGACACAATTGTCCATTCTGGGCGTAGTATGGGATATAATTGGGCTGTTAAGATGGGTCATGCCTCCACCAACCCTCTCCTATGGCTCCGCCTCCGCCCCTGCCTCATATTGCCATTTCACAAAATCATAATAACTCTTTCCCTTCAATTCCCTAAACAATTACTATTCTAGGGAAAAATTATACAATCTAACTCTATTTTATTGTAAGCATATCTTTAGAGTGAGTGACTCTCGACCATACACTAAATAAAAATACCAAAGTGGATCAACGATTTATGACCGGATTCATGCATATGCAACGTATATATATGTGTTTTCGGGTTATAAGCTAGAGAAGATTAATGTCTTTAATGACCAATAAAGAATGATACATACTCCTTTCGTCTATAAATGTCTGATTATTGGGGGTTTGAATGTTTTTTTTTTAAAAAAAAAAAAAAAAATTAAAAATGAAATAGAAAAAAAGATTAAGGCAATAATATTTGTGCAAATTAACTTTTCCATGTAAATATTGTTTTTCTATGTACTTTTATTACTTTTTCTCACTGTTTTTTTGCATACCCAATGTAAATTTATCTTCCCAATGTACATTTACTACTTCTTATTTATGTTTATTAATTTCCGTAAAAATTGACCATAAGGGACTATCAATAAGGGACGGAGGGAGTACGATTTATGATCTAGAATAAATTTTTTTGATTGTTATGTAAAGCCATCAATGAAGTCCATATTCGTAGTATCATGGTTATTGTGTAGATTTTATTGACTGGTTTCGGGTTAGATTAACTAAATTTACTACGAGTAGTTGTGTCCTGTAAGATTAAGCCGTGGTTATTAGAATTCTTTACTTCATCATTAGAATTCTTCACTTCATCATGATGTTAAACTACTTAAGGGAAATTCTCAACGGCGACCCCCAACTTCTACTACGCACCAACGGTGACCTCCCTTTTTTTCAATTATATAAAATGACCTTAGTTAAAATTTTCATCTCACTCATAACCTTATTTCATTAAATATTAACTATAGTTATATTTTT